CGCTGGGACAACACTTTTATTTGCCTGACGTTTCGACATCCGTCGTGCAATGCTCCTCAGAACCATTAAGAGAAAGGAATCGCAGAAATGGGCAAAACATCCAAGGGAAATTTCAGTATTTATAGGACTTAGTAATTACGGCAAACGTGTAAAGACACGGAAAGATAATGGCCGTCTTGTAAATTGATAGCTTGTTAACCGACATGCGGGCTCTGGCTTGCTGAACTTTCATCACGCGTGGTGCACTCGGACGTGATCATTTCTCGATCATCTGTCTCCCCGGTGCTGGCGTAAGACAACGCGGTGCCCTGTGCGTTCCCTAAGTGGCGACTTGCTTTGGCCAAATTGAGTCTAAGCACAGAAAATGGGTTTGGCAAATCATGGCATTTGGCTCACACGATTGTGACCTCTTGCGACTACTTCGGCCTCATCAAATTTCAATGTCTGGTTTGGTCTCGTCGAATGAGCCGCAACTTAAAAATTGGCATCATTTGGCCGCACTGCTGCCGCGTGTTCGGCATTTCGCGTCCTGAGAAGTCTGTCAGTTTCTCCGATATATTTGCTTTGCCTGCAAATGCACCAGATCTTGTAGACGACTCCAGATGTTTCCCGTCGTGGCAGTGGGTTTTTGGATTTCATGATCTAACGCCTTAAGGTTGCCTTCGGCCTGTGTGTGACTCCAAATTCAAGTGGTTAAAGAAGGCGGCCGACGCCCTCCGAGAAGTTTTTGATGTAAGGGATCTCTCGCCAAATTTTGGGGGCAGTTATCGCTGCAAAAGTAGAGGTATGCTTAGATGCCTGTGACGTCCACTAAGCACCCAGTGGCGCTTGAGCCCCCATTTTGATAGCGCACTCGTCTGAGTCCTTATATAGTATTTCATGCAAAGGTGCTGTCAAAACTTATGGCACTTAACAATCCACTCGAACACAACCCTACTCAATTCTGTCAAATTAGAGAGGACTGAAGCGTAACTGCAACGCTAACCACAAACAGCAGTTCCTTC